ATGGCAGCTACAAACTGTCCTTAACTCCAGTTCCAGAGGAATCCGAAGCCCTCTTCTGACCTCCGCGGCATTACACGACATGGGTGCACTCACATACATGCAGGCAATACATTCATACACATAAAATAAAAATAAAATATATTTTTTTAAAAATCCCCGTACCCTCTTAGAATTTTTGAAGAAAAGCCAGTAAAAAACATTTGATAAGTACATAGCTTGTTTCATAGATAGCATTTAGCATAACTCATAAAAGGCTTAACCCAAAGAACAAAATACTCTTTGGCCCTAGCATCCCTATTCACAAGAAATGACTCTCAGTAACAGCAGACCAAAATATAGCCTATAAAGACATTTCCAAAGTATTAAGCAACACAGACACACTGATGAACTTAGGTAATCCAATTCAATTACCTCCTGCAAAACTTAGCACCAGTCATGCAAATCACTTGAATTTTTGCACCTTTTCCCTTCAGATCATGAAAGCTGGGAAAGATGTGAGATCTGTCACCTGTTAATTACTACCAGGAGTAAAATTCAGTATCTTCCTAGGATTTCACTGTGCTACACAGTATGTCTATAGGTCTTGTCTCATACTATATTTGGTGTGATCTATTAAAATACACACATGAACTAGAAGTCTAAGAATACTATGCAATCAATCTACATTTTCAAGGAAAAGTATTAAGACAGTGTTAAACAAATGTGATTATTATTGTAGGACAATGAATTGTATAGTTATTACACTTACATAATATCCTTAGAAAATGAGAAAGTGGATATTAGCTGTCAGTGAAAAGAAGGACAGAGTTGAAGAGCAAGACGATGGTAGGGGGAACTTTGTAAATAAAAATCACACAACACACACTCACACACACACACTCTCAATGGCTGTATAAATTTTATACCAAAACACCCACTTTAGCAGGGTGCACCTCTATAATCTAAGAATTCAGGAGGCTAAATCAGGAGACTAGCAAATTCAAGGCCAGCTTGGACTACACAGTAAACTCCAGACCACCCTGAGATAGAGAGACCCTGTCTCATTTATAAAAATGCTTATTAAGGTCCAAATCTGTTGGGGGTGGGAATCACCTAATTTCACATATTTTGAGAACTTTCTAAGGCATATCTGCCCTCCAACAACAAAGTTAATTATACCCAGGCATAGTGGTACATGATTCTAATCCCAAAACTGAGGAGGCAGAGGCAAGAGAATCACAAGTTTAAGGCCAGCCTAAGAATTTTTTTAAAAGGACAATTGCCATTTGTATTGTGCATAAAATTACTAACACAATAACAACTCTGCTCCTCCTTGTTCACTGCTATTATATCATGTTTGGACTATCAGCTATTTACTTTGCATGTTTAAGATTTCACCTTCATATTTTAAAGAAATTCAACTCCCATTGTATCTTAAAATTCACTGTAGGTCAAAATTATTGTTGTTTCTAAACAGAATTTTCTCCACAAGCTGAATTTATGCAACAACTCTACAATGAAACCTGAAGTATTATTACTACAGGATATTTATGAAATATATCCAGCTGCATACTGTCAAAGATAACAGCATTAATACTTACACTTACCTCATCGCAGTCTCCTTCAACCATGGCATATATAGCTTTCTTTACCAAGTTAGTACCTAGAATATAGATCTGAGTATTAATGAAGGAAAAATATAATTAGTTTCTTAAAGAATCTAAATTATGATACTCATAATAGCATAGAAATGTCAAATATTAGGTTTTTAAACTCTAAGGGTGAAAAAAAAAACTAAGCTGAGAGAAACCCATGGAACCTTCACATAGTAATAAAGTACTCCAGGAAAGACCTATCTCCATATATACTCCTTTTTCACAGATGTCATTATTTTCCCTAAGTAGGAGTCTATTGTATTCTCTGAAGTTATGAGAAAACATTAAAAAAAAAAAAAAAAAAAAAAAAAAAAAAAAAAAAGGCAAGATACAGGATTAAGAGTAATCCAGAATTCTGTAAGCTGGCAAGAACTTACTACATAACCTGAACTGACTTTGTCCAGTAGCATTCACACCTCTGGACACAAGGCATAAGACAGTCTTGAAAGAACTGCTCATGTCCACACCACAGTAGGTAGGCCAGGACACAATCAGCTCTTTAAACCTTACAGTGAGCCTAGGTACAACAAAGTCAGGTACTCTCAGTAATGGCATCGGTATGTCTAAATTATCTAATACATTAAAAGGAAAAATAACTACCAAAAACAATTTTAAGAAAGACAAACTTTATTTTTAAAATCTCTTCATTTTCATTCAAGCTAGACATGTAAGTGTACAAGCATTTCATGGGCCACACAAAATATGCCAGGCTGCAACCTTGAAGATACTGGTATCTATCCTTGGAACTTGCCAAACAAGTGTCTATTGTTCATCATAAGTCTTTCTCAGCTCTTCCCAAAGCAAAGAGTCAACAAAATTCATTAAAAGTTTTAGTAGAGATGGGTGTAGTTAAGCATGTCTTTAATCCCAGCACTCATGAAGAGGAGGCAGGCGGAGGATCTCTGAGTTTGAGGCCATCCTGGTCTGATACCAAGTTCCAGGCCAGTCAAAACTAGGTAGTGAAACCTTGTCTCAAAAACAAAAATAAAACAAAATTAATTTTTTTCTTAGTAGAAAGTTGTACCACTATACAAGAACAAAGTCAGTTAAATCCCATAAATTGGCTCAGCACAATGGCACATGACTGCAATCCCAGCTACTTGGGAAACTGAGGCAGGAGTATTTGCTTGGGTCCTGCAAAAAAAAAAAAAAAGCCAGTCTGGGCAACATAACCCAGTCTCAAATAAACAAACCTTAACATAGTAAACATTTTAGTAATTTCTCACGGCATGACTTTGAAAATCTTAAATATAAGAATTATATAATAACATCCATATTCTTTAAGCTACAAGTAACAAAACTGCCAATAAATACTGGTGGCAGCATCAAATATTATTTCATGAACGCTTACTTAAATACATATATCCCAGAATTTGACACATGCAGATAAGTGCTTCTCTACCTGATCTTCCATCATGAAAAAAAGAGCCAGTAGGTACTAGACACTAGAATAGTAGTACTAACTAAGGTTACATCACAGGCAACAGGGAAAGTTTCAACCCCATCAGATAACAAGATTTCTTTAGAGGACTATGTATCTGCTTTTAAACCATTCAGATGAGCGTAATGACTTTTAAAAATCACTGGTATAAGACTGACTGTAAGCTGGGCCTGTAGGATGGGTCAGCAGGTAGAGGCACCTATTGCTAAGCCTAATGACCTGAGTTTGATCCTGGGACCCACACGGTAGAAAGAACTGACTCCCAGAAGTTGTACTCTGATCTCCACATGTGCACCACAACACAGGTTTGTTTTTCCTGTGGACTGTGATGTAAGCCTAGTGGCATGCCCACACGCCACACATAGACACAAAAAATAATAAACTTAAAAAAAAAAAAAAAAAACCTAACTATGCTAGGAAAAGTAGATCCAAGAAAGAAGTGGAAAGAAGTAGGAAAGATCCAAGAAAGAAGTAGGAAACAATTATCTTCTCCTGGGCTACCAAATTACAATAGGTGTGATGACTAGCATTAGGTAATGGTAACAATTACTCCATAATTTTGGCTTGAAGTTCACTGAAATTAAGAATAAACAGCTGGCTTGAAGGCTGGGCTCCAATGCCCTCATAACTATAAAAATTGGCAATGATTTTTGCAGTACTTAGTATAATGCAAAGCACTGTGAATATGATTTTAAATTTGGTGGGCCGGGTGTGGTGGCGCACGCCTTTAGTCCTAGAACTTGGGAGACAGGCAGGTGGATCGCTGTGAGTTCAAGGCCAGCCTGCACTACATAGTGAGTTCAGGACAGCTGGGACTACAGGGAGATCCTGTCTCAAAAAGACCAAAAAAAAAAAGTTTGGTGAAAATTGATCACCTGCTACTTTTTAAAAAATATCTCTCAATGCCGGGCATAGTGGCACATGCCTTTAAGCCCAACACCTGGGAGGCAGAGGCAGGCATATCTCTTTGAGTTCAAGGCTAGCCTGGTCTATATAGCGAGTTCCAGGCCAGCCGGAGCTACAGGGAGACCCTGTCTCAAAAATACAAAAAAACAAAAACAAAAACCTCTCAAAACATTAATTTAAAAAACTTATTTTAAGAATTTTTTGAAAACAAGTTGAAATAAAAACAATCTTAGGGACAGCAAGATGGCTTAGCATGTAAAAATAACTTGCCTTGCAACCTGATGATGTGAGTTCAGTTCCCAAGACCCACTGGGAAGGGAACTGACTCCCTAAAACTGTCCTCTGACCTCCACGTGCTTGCCTGTATACAGGTACACACACACACACACACACACACACACACACACCCCTTTTTCCTCCTTACCTTGAAGTTCATTTCTATTTTTTACATTTTAAGTCTTCTGTTTCAAAACACACAAAAAAGTATTCACCCTTTTAGTGAAATAATGTTCTCCTTACCGATGCCATTTCTTCTGTACTTGGAATCCACGGCTAACATGGCTATATAACCTCTGCGGAACATCTTTTTGTGCATATCCAACTTGCAAACGATGGCACCTACACACTCCTCCCCTACCATAGCCTTGAAAATAAACAAACAGTTATGAAGAGCACACTGCCTTCAGACAGCACAAAATTACCAAGGGAAAACAGCAAACAACCCTTGGTCAGCATTGAGGTAGGAAGAAATGAGAAAGCCGCCAAGACAGCAATCACAGAAGTTCCAGACATCTAAATCTCAAAACTCTTCAAATATTCTCAATTTTTAAGATCTCAACTTCCGTTAGAACATGAATCTTTAAAATTAATTTTTCTTTTATGTGAATGAATGTTTTGCCTGCATGTACGTAAGCAGACCCTTGTCATGCAATGCCCCAGAAGGAATCAGATCCACTGGAACTGGAGTTATGGATGGTTGTTGGCTACTATGTGAGTGCTGAAAACCAAACCCAGTTCCTCTGCAAGAGCAGCCAGTGCTTTTAAGCACTGAGCCATCTCTACGGCCCCTGAAACATGAATTTATACGCTTATTAAAGCCTAAAAGGGAGGCGGAACTAAGATTTTCATAAGGTAAATACGCAAATACTTTATGAATTATACATGAAATGCCAATAATTTACAATTTGCAATAAGGACCTACTTAAATTTTGGGAAGAGAGAGTAAATGAATAAACTATATTAAAGACAAACTCTACTCATTAGAACACAGTAAAATATTGTACAATTTTCCCATCAGTAGAGTATTACAAGCTTTTAGTTTTAATAAAAGATAAACATAAAACATAATATATACCTAAATATTACACCTGGGAGTTAACTTTTGATCAAGAAAAAAGTACCAAAAATTTTTTTCAGAAAAAAGGCTTGTTTAGAAGGTATTACTTAGTTCACACTTAAGAGGTTTTTGCTACTTTAGGACTACAAAAACTACATATATGATAGTCTCATTTTCAGGATACTCCTGACAGTATGGGTCACTGTCATAAAGTTCCTAGAATTTCAACAGCTTGTACTTCTGAGGCTCAGGCATGAGGATCTTTGTCAAAAGGATCTTAAGTTCAAGGCCAGCCTGTTCTACAAAGCAAGACCCTGTCTCAAAAAAGAAAAACTATAGTTTAAATTCCAATCTTTGTATTAATATAACAGGTCTTTCTACTTCAATGAAATTGTCAGGTTTGTCAGCATGTTAAAAGCTAAATGTTAAATGTTAACTCCTCGTTTAAAAATTTCCAGTGTCATCACTGCAAAAGTTTTTCACATGTTCCAACACTGCTTAAAAGCTCTAATAGTGTACTCTGAGAAATATTAGGATAATATCTCAACAAGCAATGTTTTTGTTTTATAAATTAACTTTCCAGAAACAACTATTTCAATAACAAAAACAGGAATTAACAGGGTTAAAACAGGGTTAAAAAATTAGTAAGTACAACATATACTTTTAACACCTATTTTAACTTGAATTTATTATAACATTTTATGATCCATTATTTATAAATTTCCTGAAATCTCTTTTTTTTTTTTAACAAACCATGGAGAAATATTTTTAGGCAAGATAATTCTAATCCATTTCACACAAACCTGAATTAGGTATTTAAAAAAAAAAAAGTCCTTTTGAAGGTATAGTAAACTCAATAACCCATACTATTCATTTCTATTTCATCACATATTTCAAAATTATTCTGGGTCAATAAACCCCTACAAATTTCTATTTGGTTTTTCATTCACAACAAATGTTTATTTCTTTTTTTTTAATTAAATTTTTTTTTCTTTTTTGGATTTTTTGTTTTTAATATATTATTTTTATTTTTATGTGTATGAATGTATTGCCTGCATGTATGTGAGTACACCCATGTCATGCAATGCCGCGGAGGTCAGAAGAGGGTGTTGGATTCCCCTGGAACTGGAGTTAAGGGACAGTTTGTAGCTGCCATGTGGGTGCTGGGAATCGAATCTGGGTCAAGAGCAGTCACTGATCTTAACCGTTGAGCCATCTCTCCAGCCCCGTGTTGGTTCCTTTTAATTGTAAACCTGACGCAACTGAGACTCATCTGGGAAGGGAGTCCTCAAGACAGATCGTCTAGAGCAGGTGGCCTATGAGGACCCAAGTTCGAGTCTCAGCACCCACTAACAACTGTCTCTAACTCTAGCATCCGACTCCGCCTTCTGACCTCTGTGGGCACTGCACAATACCGGTGCACTAATACACATGTACACAATACACTCATACACACAAAATAATAAATTTTTTTAAGTTGGGCCTAGATTACCTCTAGGGTCCTTTTGGATATGATTTAAAATACAAAATATTTGTATTTTTTAAAATTAGTTCTTAGGGGAAATTCAAATTGAAACCATACCAATATAAAAGATCTAGTTGTAATTTGCCTCTGTTGCTTAACTAGTTTTATTTTTCAATATTTCCAGATTCAATTTCATTCTTCCATATAAGAAGTCTTATGGGCCAAATACTTGTGCTGATCTCAACTTCTAGATAGTCATCACTTAATATTAAACTTTGGCTAGTAAAAGGTGACATATAAATTAACTAGTCAATTAAGGAGGGTCTAATAAAAATCAAGACTGAATTTACTAAGATTACCACAGTCTAAATGGGCAGAGAAACTGACACAGGTCTAAAAGCACATTCAAAAAACTGACTACATGTCATATACACATAACTACTCTCTGAAACTGATGGAAAAAAAATATCTATTTCAATTTTTGTATATAGTACTGCTGATTAAACCCAGGGAGGGCCTCAAGAATGTGAGGCAAGCCAGTGGTACCATTGAGCTACATCCCCAGCTCTATTTGAATTTAAAATGACTTACTACAAGTTTTTTTGTGGTTTAACTTACAGTTAAATCAATCCACAATGTTTAGCAACAGTATTTGATAACATAATAGTGCTTTAAGTCACTAACCCATATTCACTGACACATCTTATAACTTCTATTTTGATAGAACGCAAGAATCCTGAAAAAATATTTTCTGGAACACAAAATAGTACCTAAAATTCAAACAAATGTGCTAAATTAAAGTTTAAGCAACATTAACACAGAAACTAGTAAAACTACCATTATCTACCATATTCAGGTTCTACTTTTGGATAACCACCAAACTGTAGAAACAGACAAGACCTCTGAAGTATTGTCAAAACATAATGCAATGAAGTTTTGAGTGCAACTAAGTCAAGGTTAAAACAATAATTATGAGTGGGACCTTTTCTCTTCACATATAAAAATTCTTAAGAGTGCTGTCAATCACCTTTAGTAAACTTCAATGAAAAAGAACAATGTCTTGTGTTCATGATACAAAGCATAGACTGCAGTCAATATTTAAGTTAAAGGTTCATAGAGGCTGAAATTTCTCTACTACTATAGAGAAATTACTGGTGCTAGGAATGTAAATTTAAAATAATTATTCAGCTTATCCCAACAGTTAAGTCTGTTTGGCTTACATATAGGTAAAACTTTGGTGGGTTATACTCCAAACAAGCAAGAGGTACCAACTTGTGAGCTTGTCTTTGGCTACACTTTCTTAATCATCAGATTTCACACTTGTTTCCTGCATTCCACAAAAGGGTATTCTGTTAAGTCAGGAATCTTTTAGCCACTAGAAGTTAGTAGCACTTTCTGCTACCGCGCACCAGAAAGCAGACTGACAACTGCTGACTGTCCTGTTGAAGGAAACCACCTCCATGATGAACCAACATGCTTCTAAGATTGAATTCTCCCATGTGGCCACAGCAAGTTTACTGACAATCATGTTCACCAAAACATGTTTATGCATATATTCTTCCCTGATTATGGCTGTGCCTGAGTCATTAATAAGGCCTGTATCTGAACAGAACCATGTTCAAATTAAATCACTGCAAAGTGCGTTGAAGAGGAGGGAGGGTTATTAAGGACGGTTAAACATGACTAGAAGCTAATGTACACAGGACATAACCCCCCCCCACCCATGTACATGCTCTGTACAGGCCTGCTGCGTTTACATCGTTAACAAGTTAACCCAGATCGCCAGCTCTTACCTGTACAGAGGACAACCCCCCCCACCCATGTACATGCTCTGTACAGGCCTGCTGCGTTTACATCGTTAACAAGTTAACCCAGATCGCCAGCTCTTACCTTCCAAACAGTTCCACTCATATCTAGGGTCGTACGCACGAATTTTAGCACTTCCCATGTGTACGGTACTAGGAAAATGCAGGATGCATCCATCCACTGCCACACACCGGGCCCACACACTCCCTGCACTGCATGGCCTGGACCTCGGCTGACCTCACCCTGTTTTCATTCCATCCACTTACCAAGAAACACAGCTGTGGCCAGTTGTGGATAAAATATCTATAGGTATAAATGGAGTAGGGTTCAGACAGATCTTTGGTGATCAGTCTCATGATATCGGGCATCTGGAGCTCGGATTCATAGCGGACGTATCGTATCGTCCGATCCTCCCCGGGCTCGGCCTCCCTGCCCGGGGAGCTTCTTAAACTGCAGCTGGCGGTCAGAGACGAAGACAGCAGCCGCACCTGCCCGTCGTCGTCGTCGTCGTCGTCCTGCTCGGTGCCCTCCGCCAGTCCATTGCGGGCTGCCGTGGGGTCGCCCGCCGCCGCTTGGGGCCGGCCTGGGAGCGCAGTTCTCGCATTGTTGGGGAGCGAGTGGGGAGGTCTCTCGCCCGAGTGTCCCCCGGCTCCTTTTGTGGCAGTCACTCTGGGGGCCCGGTCGGGGGTGGCTGTGGCCGCCTCAGCCGCACTCAGGACCTTGCTCTTGAGCGAGGCGGCAGCCCGGAGGTGTCGCAGTTCGGGACCGATCAATCCGTTGAGCTGCTGCTGCTCCAGAGGCGCCTGCGGGCAGCGGAGGCACGGATGCGCGGTGGCCGTGGCCTCGCCACCCGCCGGGCTCCGGCCGCCGCCTTCGTGCTCCTCGTCGTCGTCGTCGTCCTCGCTGCAGCAGGCGAGCGCGGCCCCCGCCGGGAACGGACAGCGGGGCTCGGCCGCCGCCGGGGCGGGAGGTACTGGTGGTGGGAGGAGGCTGCTAGGCCCAGGCGGTACCTCCGCCATCCTAGAAGCGACACAGCCGAGAGAGGAGGCCATGAGAGCGGGCCGACCGGCGCCAGGCGGCGCGGGCCGGGGGCGGCCGAGGCGGGGGGAACAAAGGCAGAAACCGTCCCTC